ACATGTCTTCAAGGTTCAGCGGTATTGAAGCTTGTGACAGCATCCCTTCCCTTTGGAGGCTGGATCTCCCACCATATATACATATCACATAATCTATTCATCTGCTTAATGGCCACATGAGTTATTTTACCTTTTGGTTACTGAGAATATCACCAAGAGCAGTGTACAAATATCTCCTTGAATCCCTGCTTTCAGTTCTTGGAGGAACATACCCAGTAGAGGACTTGCTGACACAAATTTTAATTTTTTAAAAATTATATATCAAGAAAACATCAGCAGCTGCAGCATTTTCGATGCCTGCTAGCCATGCACAAGGTTCTACTTTTCCTTTCTCTATATCCTTGCAAGCACTTGTTATTTTCTGGTGGGTTTTGTTTTGGGTTTGGGGTGCAGCGTTTTATGTGAAGAACACAGCTCCTATTTAGGTCAGTGGATCTGATAAGAAAGTGAACTGATTCGGTTACTGCATAGAGAGAGGTCACCATTAAGTAAATAATTTAGCTCTCACAGCCCAGTCTGGCTTAAGGGCACAAGAACGGTTTCTGAACATTTCCAGCTGCTTCGCATTGGAAACATAAGCGAAGGAAGCCAAGAAGAAATCCATCGGGCAGCATCCTTACAATACCAGCATCAGCCTTTTCTGCAAGTGGCCTGGTCGCCAGGAAGTGGCACCCCCCAACAGAGGCTGCTCTGCGCACCCCTAACTTCAGGCCCTTCTGCTTCTGGAAGTGCATGAAAGGGTCTATGGAAACTGTGGCATGGGCCATTAAGAGCTGGAAGGAAGGGGGAGTGGAAATTACAGCCATCTGAATGCAATTGCCTGGCTTTATCTTTGCCCAACACTCTAAGAGCCTATAAACATCAGTGGAGGGAAAAGGATTTAATTTCCAAAGACATAAAATTTTCAGAGCTTTGTGACCTCTGAGAGAAGAAGGCCAGCTGAGAAAACGATTTCCTAAAGCTCAAACCCAGGCTCAGGAACGAGGCCACCAGAATACTTGCAAGTCAGCCTGTCCTGCTGGGCTCCTTGGGAGGAGGAGTCTAACCCACTTAACCGTCTCCCCAGGCCTAGAGTGGGGCCTGCGAGGAGCTAGGAGAGGACACTTCTCCTCTGAACCAATATTATCGGCTTGGTTCTTGTCGGCCCGACTTGTTTTACTGTCTGGGTTTTAGTACTGTAACGAAGATGCAGGACGCAGGGTGACTCTGCACAGAAATCTGGTGTGGTCATGGATCCGGGTCAGTTTATGGTGAAGATTGGATTCTCCACTCCCGTGTCAGAATCAGACTCGGAAAACACTAACCGGCCTATCATAGGCTTCAACTCCCTCTTTGTGTCTATGACCCACTCCTCCCCCATCTACACTGTGCTCCCAAGGGTAGGGACAGCGGTGACGACACCGACAAGCAGCTTCCTCTGCGGCTCTGCAGTTGACATTGCATTATCCAATGCATTTATTTGATCCTCCACATAACCTGGTAGGCAAACAAGCCAAACGGACCTATATGAGCAAACATGAGGCCTAGATGAGCAAAACATAGGGAAAACAAGCCTTGGTGCTCCAAAGAGCTGTCTTCAGTCTACTGGTGGCTTCCCATTCCTCTATGTCAGCCAAGCACATGCTGATGTCACCATCAACGCTCTTATCCTAAAGGACTGTTCCTAATTACCCGCTGAGAAGAAAGATGGAGTCCAGAGGCTAGATCTGCACCATAGGTGCTATGACTGAAAATGGATTTCATGTGTTTATGAGTCCTTCAAAACATGTCTGGCAATTCTTTCCTGCCCCTCTCCTTTTAGCGGTAGACTAGTCTACCTGTCTCCTCAGTGGAGCCAGAGGTTGGTAACTTGCCCACGATGAGCAGAATGATGGTGTATGATTTCAGAAGCTAGCCCCATGACTCCATCCCGGCTCTGTAGAGGCCAGTATCTACATGTGAGAACAGTAGGGTTTTTTGTTAAAAATGATGGGGTTTGAGGGTGACTTGCCATGTAGCAATAGCAAACATTGACAGTGGAAGAGAGCTGACCTTTGCACACACCTTTACGACCAGCATTTGGGAGGCAGACGCAGGTGGATTTCTGTGAGTGTGAAGCTAGCCTGGTCTACACAGTGAGTTCCAGACCAGCCAAAGCCACACAGCAAGCGCTTGTCTGAAAGAGTAAGGGAAGGAGGGAGGGAGGGAAGGAGGGAGTGAAGGAGGGAGGGGGAGGGAGGAAGGGAGGGAGAAAGTGAGAGGTAACCTTTGAAAATTTATTATTTATCCAGATACCAGTAATGTATGCTTCTTTTATTATAATTATAGATAAGAATAAAAGATAAACTTAAGAGTTACTCATATTCTCATCCAGAAATAATCATTTGAACATAACTTCCTGCTTTCTATTTGTGTACTTATTTTACAGAAATGAGCTCATGCTATTTGGAATCTATTTCTTATCATTTAGTGATGTTACATGCCATTTTAGAGTTCAGAGTGCCTTCTTTGGATGCTATTTCAAATCACCAGGTATAGGGGCTGGAGAGATGTCTCATCCATTAAGATCAGGGCACTTCTCTTGTGGAGGATGCAAGTTTGGTTCTCACTCTCAGCATCCATGCCAGGCAGCTTGCAACCCTAACTCCAGAAGATATGATGTCCAGTTCTGGAATTCACAGTCTCTCTCTCTCCCTGTCTCTCTCTCTCCCTGTCTCTCTCTCTCTCCCTGTATCTCTCT